GGGGCTGAGAGAGGTCAAAGTTGGCAAAACCAGTGTATGGTGAGCATTATGGAGTCTGCTAGACTGTGGTGAGGCTGAGTTCCGATCCAAAGTAGCCCCTCTTTGGGCAGAAGAATACAAACCTCTTTCTGTCACATCAATAAGTGCCATGGTAGAATCTGATGCTTTCTTCTCTGAAAACAGCTTCTATTAAAGCCAAGAGTGAGTCAACCAAATTCCTCCATAGGACCAAACTGAACAGAAGGGAATTGTTCCATCTGTTGTCAAAACTGTCCTCACTGAGTTCAAAGAATTGCAGCTCAGGAGGGAGGGATCCCCTGGGGGCTGCGTGGGGTGGAGGGAGGTGGAAATGGAGCTCCTGGGCTTCCTATCCCTTGGAGTGGAGTCTCAGGGCTGGAGCCGCACACCACCACCGACTGTCATCCAGTTGACTTCTCTTTGAGTCTGAGGCTCTGAGGCTCTTCACAACCCCCATCCTTCCCCTTAGCCCAAACATACCCAATGCACAACTTCTGTTTGAAGTGCTGCTCTTCCCAGGGCGCCTCCGAGGTGCCACGGGATTAGAAGAAGCCGCTTGGGCTCTGGGAGGGGTAAGGAGACCTAAGCCCCAGCCAGCTGTGGGCTTTCAGCCTCTCACCGGGTGATAATGGAATTCTGGGCTTTACCACAGAGATCATTGGGCCCCAGAGGGGTCTTAATTAAAATGGTCATGTGAGCCTTGCAGGCAAACACCCAACACTCAATGTGGGAGCTTATTTTGAGTTCTGGTTCAGTTTCTGCCAGAGAGGCTGGGTTCACAGGAGCTAAGGAAGTGGAAGAACTGGACCAACTATCTATATCCTAAAGTGAAAGACTCTGCTTGCAAGTTAATAATCCAGAGTGCTCCCAGCAGACACCACTTCATCCATCATCTCCCTGTGCTAGCGCAGACATCGTTAGAAGCCATGCTGGAAATCGCTCATAGCACGTGGGCAGGATTGATGCTTTCTCCTTCTCCTCTGGGGTTATTCTAAGCAAAGGGTAATATATAGATAATTTAATCAATTATTTCTTTTAAAGCTATTTACATGTACTAGTTACTACCTTTCAGTGGGAGATATTTATAACACTGAATTGTCTTGCTATAGAGCAAGAATCTTTATATAGAAATGTCAAATTTAGCTTTAAGCAGAGTTAATATTAAAAAAAATATATATGAGATGGGCACTGTTGATTTTGGTGTCCAAAAATTGTTTATGTGGCTAAACTGAGACACAGGTTATGCTTCTAACACAGTTTATGTATTGCAGTGGTGACAATGAGGCCTGGAATATTTTGCTAAGAAAAAACATGAGATAATATAAAGTAAAATGTAAGATACTCTTCCCTTAAGAAAAACTTAAGAATTATAAAGGTTAGTCACAGATTTTTGTGATTTCATTTGAGCAATGACTTTAGACACAATCATTTGAATATATCTGCTTTTAAAATATTATTTTGCAAATTGTAGTAGTTAAACAATCCAGAAACACAGACAAGTAATTACTTAATTAGTGCCAGTTTACCTTCTAGACTATAAGCGCCATGAAGGTGAAGGCTATGTCCACTTTGTGCACCGTAATATCCCTAGTTCCTGGTATGATTAGGTACTCAATAAATATTTATGTGTCCATAGCCACACCACTCTGAACATGACTCTTTTGATCTCGTGAAGGTTAGCAGGTCAAACCTGGTTAGTACTTGGATGAGAGATCACCTGGGAACACCAGGTTAAAACACATCTGTGGATGAATATTCAGAGAGGTGCAATATACTGATGTTGGTGTATATTTGCTTTCATCTTATAAGAATGCCTGCTTTTTAAAAATAATTTTCCCCTTATTAAAGATGAAGTTATAAATTTAGACTTTATTATTTTAAGTAATCACTAGTGGGTTTCTATAAAGAAATGTGAATAAAAATATCCTGTGATTATCAAATAAGGTATGCAGTGGTTTGTCATTTTGTGAGATTGACAACATTAAACAATTGGGGAAATGGACCTAGTAAAGCAGAGTGAAGACAAACTGCACCCAACACAATTGTTTAAAGAAGCCACTTGTAGCTAATGGTGCCTGGGGATGACTTAATCTTAACTGTTTCATGGTAGTAGGACCAGGGTATGTAGTTGAGGGCACATGTACACTTGGTATGCTGCACCTTCTATCTGTGAAGATGACCAATGGAAATGGCAGAGCTAAGGGACTAAAGTCTGAGGTTGGGGGGAGGACAACGCACTCCTAGACACCGGAGAGTGTGGACCCCAGGGCTCTGTATGAGGAAGCCTCATCTTCCTGAAGAACTCACCTTGGGCTTCTTCAACAAAAACCTAGTGCCATGGAATCTTTTCAACAGCAGTAAAACGCAGCCAAAAGATAGGAACGACGATGGGTTTGAGTGTAGTCAAAGAGGGTGGGAGGCGCTGTTTCATAGCTTTCCAGACAAGACCAGCATTGTGGGAAGTGTGCTGTTTCCCCTGATATTCCCTTATTCTCCCTTGCCCTCAAAAGCATTTTTTAAGGTTTTCGGGGCCACGCTGTCGCCCGGTTTTGCTACCAACTTTCCTCTTTCTTGATCTTTTGTTTCAATGTCTGCTTTCTTCCCCCGTATGCTCACTGAAGCCTAATTGTGAGGTCAAGCTATAATTAGTTTATACATGAAATTTAATTCACTGTGGGTCTTTTGGCATTAGAGTCAAATGGGCTTTGATGTCTGGCTGGGCTTTGATCCCAGCCCCTCAAATGGTGGTCATCACCCCAACTCAAAGGATTGCCCTTTACTTTTTTCCTCCTCTTCAGAGACAGCTTTTCCCAATTACATCATTTGTGTTTGGCCATAAAAGCTGCAAAGCATCATTTTGTTGCTTTGCTCTATGGCAAAATGTGCCACTGATGCTCTTTACTTTGCATGGCTGCCATAGAACACTCACTGCTGGTCAGACATTTGCAAAATGATGCTCTGACTTTGGTGAGGGTGCTCTTAGGAGCTGCTCTGCTAAAGGGCAAAGTGTCGGGCTAAGTCATCTGAGAGATCTTTCCAGTCCCTGCCCAGGAAATATCTTTAAGCATAAGCTACACAATTGTAATATATTCAGCCAGGCCTCTCTTTCATGCTGGCAACTTCAATTATTAATCTTTCTCTCCAGATCCTCCCGGTAGCAGATCCACCCCATCCATAGTGCCACACGTTTGGAGTTATCAATTATCACTTATACAGAGAAGACAAGAGACCGCCATGGAAGGCAAAAGAATTAACCAGGGATAAACATTACTAGAAAGGAAAAAATGAAGTAACACTAGTGGAGGAAGAAGCACCAGCATCTGCTTTAAAAAGGGAAAGAAACATCAAAGCCATAGGGAGAGTGAGGTTCTGTTGGCAACAGATGGGAGGGTGGGTGATTACTTTCAACTGCTTCGGAATACCTGCAACCAAAACAAAGAAACAGAGAGGAAAAAAAATCTAGGGGAGCGGCTCCTGTGGCTCAGTGAGTAGGGCGCCGGCCCCATATACTGGAAGTGTCTGGTTCAAACCTGGCCCCGGCCAAACTGCAACAAAAAAATAGCTGGATGTTGTGGGAGGCCCCTGTAGTCCAGCTACTCGGGAAGCTGAGGCAAGAGAATCGCCTAAGCCCAAGAGCTGGAGGTTGCTTCGAGCTGTGACGCCATAGCACTCTACCAAGGGCAACAAAGTGAGACTCTATCTCTAAAAAAAAAGAAAGAAAGAAAGAAAGAAAGAACATCTAGGGAACTAGACTGGAAAGAAGAAAAATTGGTTGTTACCTTAAAAAGAGAATAGGGGCAACCCAGCCAATTTCATTTAATCTGATGACATTGGGAGTTTTCCTGGAAAAACAATTATAGCATTGAGCTTCTTGCTTCTAACTTCATTTGACAGCCCCAGTTTGTTTTAATTGGCGTGCGAATGAACAGCATTATTTATTAATGTGTAATGGATACTTTGGAAAGCATAACCTTTTTTTCCTGGTCATTTTATGGGTGGAACCATCTGAATATATTACTTTTAATATTTAAACTTTCTGGAAATGCTTTTTCATGGAGGTGTGCAAACTGTTGGGCAAATGGCTTGGTTTGGACTAATGAGCCAGCTCAAAGTGGCATTTAGGGGGGAGGTTAGGAAGGTGGGAGGGGTGGGAGACATAGCCACTTGTCTGCCTGCCTTAGCAAGATTTATTAGTAGTGTGTAAAAACATGGTTTAGCTTCCCCCTCCCTTAACTATATAAATACAGTTGTCGATGTGTGACATAACACAGGCCATAGCAATAGACTCCACCCAGCTGGAAGGAGTCTCATTCAGAAATGGAAAGCAAGAAACTTGCTCAGAAATGAGTAGCAGGAAACAGTGACAGAGGACACTGGTGTGCAGCATTTGGCAGGCAGGGCAAGTCATTCTTCTTTAGAGTCTTTTTTTTTTTTTAGACAGAGCCTCAAGTTGTTCCCCTGGGTTGAGTGCTGTGACATCACAGCTCACAGCAACCTCCAACTCCTGGGCTCAAGCTAGTCTCCTGCCTCCACCTCCCAAGTAGCTGGGACTACAGGCACTCGCCACAATGCCTGGCTATTTTTTGGTTGCAGCTGTCATTGTTGTTTGGTGGCCCGGGCTGGATTCGAACCCACCACCTTAGGTGTATGTGGCTGGTGCCTTAGCCACTTGAGCTAAGAGCCACTCTTCTTTAGAGTCTTAACTAAAATTAGGAAGAAAAATTAGTTCCTGTACTATCAAGAAGTAGTGTTTGGCACACAGTAGGCATAGAGAATAGGTAACCTGAATAGAACTCATATTGTATGCTTATGAGTACTTGAACCTAATTCCATTTCTTGATCTAATACACAGTCTTGTTAATTATGAATCAAGGTCACAGCTATAATTCCTTTTAAGTCTGTGGGAGGCAACAAGGGGGAGGAATGTGGAGGGGTGGCAAGGGCATTCTTTTTTTTTTTTTTTTTTGGTAAATATCAGTGTAATTCTATTTGTAGTAGAGATTAAATTGGTACTAGTAAGCTTAAAAGTTAGTTAAAAAGTATGTTAATGAAACCAATTTGCAACCAATCAACATTCCCTTGAGTCTCTCTCCAGCAATTATCAGGTAAATGTTTGCAAGCCTCTGGGCTGAGGACAACGATACTAAGAGGGTATTTAAGGCAGTCTCTGCCTTCTGGGAGATTCACAGCGTAGCTGGAGAGAAGAGATACACATAAACGCCTGCATACATAAATGTGTGTGTGCACCCCAGATAAATAACCAGGCAAGTAGCCGTGGTAAGAATCAGATATTCATATAGTCAAAAGGGCGTTCAAAGGAGGGAAGTGAGTGAATTGATCTTGGAAAGACGTCAGACCACACAGAGAGGGGAGAAAAGAGGGAGAATTCCCAGCAGGGGTGATCAGCTGGGCCGAGGTGTAAGAGCCTGCAATTATGATGAAAGACAAACTCCACTTTGCCTGGACTTCAGCAAATTGTGACTTGCTGAATTCAATTTCTGAGGCTCTAGTTAAAATATATACGGAACTTTCCACAGATGAGCATTTTCAAATCCCTATCCACTAAAATTCCCTGTGCCCAGGTCCCAACAGAGATGACCATAACACCAATTCAAGGGGAAGAAGATCTATTTTACAAATTTCTCTGGAGGAAGAAAAAAAAAAGCTACGGCTCATAAAACACTTATCGTATGTGCTAGCCTCACCATAGACGCACTCCTAAATATATATTAAATGCAATGTATCATTATAATTGGTGGACAGGTGGGCTTTGTTGGCAGCTCCATTTCACCGATGGGGAAACAGAGGCACGGACAAGGGCAGTATCCTGCTCGCACAGCGATTCATGGGAGGGACTGGGCTTCAGATTCGGTCTGATTTCATAGTTAGAGCTCTTATGAATGCAGACTAAAAGAACAATAAAAAAACCTTAAAACAAAACCCCTAAGCGCGCAGGCGCGCACCGCAGGCTTGTAAAAGATTGCTGCAGCCTCTTGCTGCACAGCGACATCCTCCTGCCTAATTTTATTTAAATGGATTCGATAGTAAGACACCCGTTAAAAAAATTAAAGCAACAACAAAACTTAAGAGTTTTGGAACAACAGTGCATTGTGCTTTGTGCCGCTTGCCCTTATAGAGTGGGGCGAAGCAACCAGACCGCGCTGTCCGTGCGCACCCCCGGCACCTGGCTCAGGACAGTGAGGACCGCGCCGGCGGGAGCGGGCAGGAGGCGCGGGCGCGCGGGGAAAGGGTTAAGCTGTGTGCTGCTGCTCGGAGACTTTCGGAAAGTTCTCCCAGGAGACAGGCCGCGGCCCCTGCAAGGACCCCGCCTGCGGGCCGGCTGTAACAGGACGCCGGGGCCGCGGGCGCTCGCCCAGCTTGGGGC